GTTGTTTCTATCTCCATTAAATTGTTAGACTGACATAGCAGATTTAAAAAATCTTCTCCCCAATTCTTGTTTCTGGTTTGTTTTTTTCTATTTTTTTGCTTGTCTTTGCTTTGCTTTAATTATGATTACATTGAACATATGGTTTATTCTAGAATATCCAGTTACCATGTTTTTATTCTTTCTAGTGCATGTATCTATTTATGTTAATCCCCATGATTTAAATAATCTGTAGCTAAAATCAACGATATCTTGGTAAGAGATGTTTCTCCATGATTAGGTATTTCTTTACTGACTCTATAGATAATATTAATATGATATTATAAAATGTCTTTGCACATTTTCCCATGACTACACAATTTTTAGGAGCATGTTTTTCTCTTTATTTTCTTTTCCTCTTCTCTACGTACAGTGGTCCTGAAGTAATGAGATTAGTACTTAATGATATTAGAAGTGTGTATTTCTTTTAAAATTCAGTTTTAAAATAAAGGGAAGCATGTCTATTATTCGGCTCTTTAAACTGATCTTTTTGTGTCTCCAGATGCCCAAGATAGCAGTTTTCAAAGTCTAGTCTAGTTTAGGCATCCCTGGAGGATCCTGATATCCTGTTAGGGGGTTCTGTGATGTCAAAATCATTTTATCATAATATGAAGGCATCTCAGTCGGAAGCTGTGGCTCTTGCCTATAATCTCAGCACTTTGGGAGGTTGAAACAGGTGGATCACCTGAGATCAGGAGTTAGAGACCAACCTGGCCAACATGGTGAAACCCTGTCTCTACTAAAAATACAAAGAAAATTAGCTGGGCATGGTGGCACGCACCTGTAGTCCCAGGTACTCAGGAGGCTGAGGCAGAAGAATTGCTTGAACCTGGGAGGCGGAGATTGCAGTAAGCTGAGATCGCGCCACTGCACTCCAGCCTGGGACGCAGACAGACTGCGTCTCAAAAAAACAAAAAACACAAAGCAAAACACACACACACACACACACACACATATATATATTTATTTATTTATACAGTGGAATCTTCCAGAGGCTACATAGTGCGTGATTTTATACCAGACAATGCAGAAGTAGATATGAAAGTCTAGCTGTTTTCTGTTAAGCCAGAAATTAATGAAATTTGCAAAACTGAAAGAATAGCACTCTACTAATTTTTTGTTTTAAAAAGTTATTTTTATTTTAGAATGTATATTTTAACACATTTTGAAATATATAAATGTTATATATCTTAAAATATTAAATATATTTAATATTTTCAGTGTTATATTTTTAATATTTCAATAAGCAATGTCATGAGCTTACCGCTTTTTCAAAATTAATAGGCATTTTAATTTATTAATTTAATTTTTGCTTTAACTACTAATACAGTAAATCTTGCTTGATATAACTCACATAAACAAAAACTCTTTGGGGTTTCCAACATTTTTTTTGAATATAAAGTGTTACTGAGACCAAAAAGTTTGAGAACGTGTGCTCTAAAAAAGTGTTGATCTTTCTAATGTTTCTATCTTTTTGGGGAAAGAAAAATCATACTTCACATTTTCCTTCTACTTGGCTTCCTGACTTGAGATAATGTAAAGGTTAGAAATTCTATTGGTCAAAGTTTATCAGGGGATGTAAACAAAAATGAAATAGTGACTCCTGACATTTTATCAGTTATATATATTTAAATGCCTCCCCCTACCATATATATATATACTATATATATGAATATATCATGACTTTGATAATCTTTCTACAACAAGTAATGTTTAGCAAATTATCTCTGCATGTCTTTTTAAAAGCCAAGATCATAACCATTAGCATTTAATTGCTTTGTTTTGTTTTAAAGCTTGTTCCTTTAATAGTGTATAGCTCCTCGTTCTAGTATTTTTCTCTAAACTTTCCTTCTTTTATCCAGTCTAGTTCTCCTTTATGAAGTGCCAAATGATGTTTTCTTTTTTGTTGTTTTTGTTGTTGTTGTTGTTGTTGTTTAACTTGCACTTAGAACACAACCACCTTTTCTTTTCACGAAAGCCAGAACAACATTTAGTGAGGATCTTCATATAATTAATTCTTTGCTAAACAAAACTTACCAGGTAATTTCATTTGTCATTGTTACTGTGTTCCTATGTTTAGCATCATTTTCTTCTCAACACAATGGAGTTTCTAAATTGGGTAAGATTGGGGGGGCGTGGGAAATCAATATGTTCTATTGGTCCCAAACTTTGCAATTCTTAGATTGTTCCAAAGCTACTATATGAGATATTATATCTATCTTGCCCTTCAAACTCAGCTTATATCAAGATACAGTATCTTCCTTCTTGGGGATACTGCATGTTTTCCCTGGGTATCATTCATGGTTGAGCATGTTCCTCTATCATTCTCTCATTTCTCTTCCTACCTTCATTACCTTTCCTTTCCAGTAACCTCCCCTCTTTTCCTTCGTTGTTATTTTCCTTTTTTCCCCTCACCTTAATCAAGCAAGTAACAAATGTTCATTGAGCATCTCCTCGGGAATTATGTAATAGGAAAGCGTATGTGCTCTACAGCCAAATGCCTGAGTCTGAATCCCAGCTCTAGTGTCTAGTTGTGATACTGTACAGATTTCTTAGCCTCTATGTGCCTCAGTTTCCTCATTTGGAAAACAAATATGAGATGACTTACTGGTTAGAGCTGTTGTGAAGATAGAATGAGTCAACAGGTATAAGGTATTTAAAATAGATTAGAACCATAAGTGTTTAGAACATGTAAGAGCCTCAGGTGCCGCTGTCACAACCCTCACACTCTGCTTTCTGTGATGCTAAGATGGCATCCCCTGGCAGGAAATGCTCCTATGAAGAGTTTTTTCATGGAGACTCACGTCTAATTCGCTCTTGCAGAGTCCACACCAGGCCCGTGAGAAATGTACATCCAGCTATTATTTGAGAGTAGCTGAATCTCCCTGAGGCCCTCTCTGCATTCTCCTGCTGCAACTGTCCACTCTTCTTTCCATTTTCATGCATGAGCCAGTTACCTGTTTCCCTAAATCACTAAGTGATCTTGAAGCTGTACCTCCACAACCCCCCTTACTTGGCTCTAGTATAAAGGACTCCTTGCCTTCCCGCACGAGGTAGGAAAGGAGAAAGAGTATAGCACACTGGAAACTTTTTCTCTTAAACCAACAGAAACACGGGCAAATGTTAAGAACAAGACATTCATGGAAGAGGAAAACTGATTGACCAAGAAGCGTATGAAGAGAAGCTCGACTATACTAGTGAACAGAGAAAGACAAGTTAAACCAAACTTAAGGCACGATCTTTGCACTGCAGCTCAGCAAAAGTTAAAAATACAGATTTAGCAAAGATATTAACATATATGCATATGTTGTTTGTGTGAGTGAAAGTTGATGGAGGCTTTTAGGAGAGTGATTTTGAAGTGCATATTAAAATAAAAATGCTGTATGCCTTGACTCCACAACTGGACCTGCTTCCAGTTATCTGTCCTAGAAAAATACCAGCAGAAACACTCAAATATTCAAGTGCTGGAATGTTTATATTATATTACTTGTAACTTTTAAAAAATTGAAGACAACTTGACTGTCCATTAAAAATGAATAAGTAAATTATTTATGATACAAGATGCAAGAATTAAATAGAATACACTAAAGTAATCTGAAGGTAAGCCTTCAAAGATATTTTGTTAAACAGAAAAAAAAGCCACCTAAAAATTGTATTAATGATATATTTAAGTAGGAAAATGGAGGAAACCAGGGATATTACCTTGTGTATATACATACATAGTCTGTTGTTTTGGTTTGGTTTTTTGTTTTTGTTTTCTTTTGAGACAGGGTCTTGCTCTGTCACCCAAGCTGGAGTGCAGTGGCATGATCATGGCTCACTGAAGCCTTAACCTCCTGGGCTCAAATGATCCTCCCACCTCAGCCTCCAGAGTAGCTAGAACTACAAGGCATGCACCACCATCCCTAGCTTTTTAAAATTTTTCATAGAGGTGGGCTCTTGTTATGTTGCCCAGACTGGTCTTGAATTCCTGGACTCAAATGATCCTTCCACCTCGGCCCACCGAAGTGCTGGTATTACAGGCATAAGCCAATGTAATACGCAGATGTCCTGAATATTTGACATCTGTAAAGAAATCTGTTCGTATAAACAAGTGACTCTGAACCTAGATTCACTAATGCCTAGAATGTATTTTCTATGCATTAGTGAATCTAGCCCGGTGTATATGGACTCATTTGTAAATGCATAGAAAAAGTGTTCAAACAAACTTTTTGGAAAAAACTGTTTCAAACTGATGAGGGATTACTTTTGAAGTGGGGACTGGAACTGGAACTGGGGGAAGGGAAATCAGGTATGACTTCAGCATTTGCAATGAGAATATGTTGCATGTATGCTTATACATGATTTTACAAAATAATTTAAAATACAATAAAATGAGCAGAGTTGCTAGATGTGATTTTTAAGATTCATCTCAAATACGACTTTCAACATCTATATTGACAGTTAGACTTACTAATTCTCAGGAGAGCCTATGAGTGCATCCATCATTATCAAACGGTATTTGTCTTATTAAGGATAGTTCTCTATAATAACTACTCACATCTAAATGTCTGTTCAGACAATAATTATGAAGTCTTTGCTATATGAGTTTATAAGATCACACATCCAATTATGCTTGTTAGTTAATAAGCCAGACAAATTTCAATACACAGCACCTTTACATCATTATAATAATTAGCTAATTCCATTTGATATAGTAATATGCATAAAGAGAACTGTAATATTAGCTGAGGAGTAAATATTTCCTTCTGGGAATAGATTCTATACAATTTAAATTGCATTACATTTAGGTAACTATTTGTAAAGTATTTAATGTATACAGTTTAAAGCAGATTTATGGTATTTATCATTAAGTTATATGTGTTCTTGAATCACATAACTTATAGTTCTTAAAAGATTAAGTATAGACAGTCAAACCGTAAATAGAATTACACAAATGTTACTTCATTATTTTCCCTCTTTAGTATCTACACGAAAATGGAATTGTCCATCGTGATCTCAAACCAGAGAATCTTCTCTATGCAACTCCAGCCCCAGATGCACCACTCAAAATCGGTGAGAACATTTCCTTTTGTTTTGTGACCCCTTTTTCCAGATTAGAAAAATTATACTGTGTGGAATTTTTAAACATTGCTTCATCCAGTTTTACATCCATTCAGTTTTCCTGAATATTTGACATGTGTAAAGGAATAATATGTTGTTTGGGAAGTTTGCGCTCTTTCCTGGAATGTTTATTTGGAAAATATTGCCTAGAAGTTAGTATTCTGTTGCTGGGCACACGAAGGAATCACAACTTAGAAATGGCAAGGACCATAGGAGATGACCTTGCATTTTGTAATTAAGTTTATAGTGAACAAAATGATAGAAAAAGTAACACTTCTTTTGGAGATATTAACTTTTATTTCACACATTGCTTGGAGCTTAATTTTAGGTAATAAAGAACTTTGACATAAAATGTTTAGCACATATTAGTAAGTCTAGGCTTTGAGTCACTTGTTTATATGAACAGAGATAAATTAAGATCTGCCTTTCTCAAAATGCACTCCACAGAACACTGGGTTCTCAGCAGGGTGGATAAGGGTGGGAGCGATTCACAGAAATGCTATGGCTGATCAAATGAGTTAAGAAATGCCAACTTTAAAAAAGTTAAACAAGATTTTTATTTCTATAGGACTTTCCAGAACCTTAAAACTGTTAACATATAAACTGACATATTATATCATATCCTATGAGACTTTTTTTTTTAACCAATAAGCATTTTGAAAAACTATAAAGATGAATTTTGGGAAATTCTGATCTACCCAAAGAAGCCTTTAATTGGCACTTTAGAAAAAAATAAATATTACTTTCTATGTCTCTTCTAAAGTAAATCTTCATTTCAAAAAATATTATAAACTTTATTTTCAGTGAATTCTCACTAGTGGAATCTTCATTAAATCCTCTAAAGGGCATTGCTCTTCTGGTGCTGTCCTTATCATGCTGATCTGCCAAGTTCACTGCTTTTACAGATGTTAACACCTTTAACAATTAAGTTGTTTCTATCAGGGAAGAGCTCAGATAACATAATGTGCTTTATGAATGCAAGAACCTAAGGAAAAAATCCTGAAAGTCCTGCTGGGCAGCCAGCTTGTTCTCATAATCACTCCTGTAAGGCAGGGGACAGCAGGCAGTTTCCATTTCCTTTCACATCACTTTCAAAGATTTAATCCTTAAAGCAATTTCTTTAAATGGATGGTTAGATACTAATTTAGGCAGGAGAGGTTTTCTTTCTGAAGGGCTTCCTGCTGCTTTCACTGATAAGGATCAGGCACCTGCCAGGAAATGTGGGTTTATCTTTGAAGTCTAAAATGGAATTCATTCTGCACCTGCCTGTCTTGAAGAATGCCCTTGAATGGTTTCCTGATGTTTCTTGAGTGAGAGAGAGATAGCTCAGCAAATAGATCATAATGGTAGCAACTTTTGATAATCTTTTACCTGGGTAATATTCTGAGAAATAAATAAAAAGGAACCAAAAAAATCGTATAGTCTTCTTATGAGAGTAAATTCTTATAAGTGAAATACATTGGAGACTGACATGTATTTTCCAGCTGAACAAACCTTTTGATATTTCTGTTAATTCTTGTTTCACTGATGAAAGTCAATTTTTTCCTCCTCTCTGTCAATAAATAAAAGATTCTGGATTATATCATTAATTCTGTATTATCCCTTAGAGCTACTGTTACATAAATTTCAGAATTAACAACATTAGATAAAATATAACTATTGCAACTATTACTTTAAGAAAAAATAGCTTGGCTGGGAGCGGGGTGTCACACCTGTAATCCCAGCACTTTGGGACCGAGGTGGGCGGATCACGAGGTCAGGAGATCGAGACCATCCTGGCTAACACAGTGAAACTCCGTCTCTACTAAAAATACAAAAAAATTAGCCAGGCCTGGTGGCACGTGCCTATAATCCCAGCTACTTGGGAGGCTGAGGCAAAGAATTGCTTAAACCCGGGAGGCGGAGGTTGCAGTGAGCCGAGATCACGCCACTGCACTCCAGCCTGGGCAACAGAGCAAGACTCCATCTAAAAAACAGACAAACAAAACAAGAAAGAAAGAAAAAAAATGCTTATTTGCTGAAAGCTGGGAATTGTACAGAAGAACAAAGATTAAATATAGATTTATTTGTAAATGTATTTGGAAGTCATATTTTTCTCCAATTTAAAGAAACACATGGATTGTTTTTTTAGCTTCCTCTTGGGTGACTTGTTCCCACCCACCTTGACCCCATCATCAAATACAAAAGAAAACAGATAAATAAGTTAGTTTTGTTTTTGAGTAACAAATATTTTGTCATCTTATAAAAGCTGAGAAGACGTGCTTCATTAAGTTTTTTTCTTGTGTTGTTAGCTGATTTTGGACTCTCTAAAATTGTGGAACATCAAGTGCTCATGAAGACAGTATGTGGAACCCCAGGGTACTGCGGTATGCTCTTTAATAATTATATTTTACCTTTATTGTTATGAAATCTATTTTTGTTTAGCAATCTCATTTTTTAAAATTCCTAATATCTCTATTTATAAACGCTTAAAATGTGTTGTTAGTCTCTATGAGGAAGCCATATATAAATAATTCTCAGATCACTTCTTGTTTTCTATGAGAGGTTCAAGGATGTTGGTTTTAGGGCACTGCCATTAGAATGCCTTTGAGCAGTGGCTACTGTTAGACCCACTGGGCAGCAGAAAGACAATCAGCAAGGAAGAGGGCAAGGAAACCCCATAGCTTGTAGTTGGAATTAAATGCATGAGCCCTTTGTCACTTTTTTTTGCTTTTCCTTGAATGGAGAGTGTGTGTTTAATTCAGATGGCATATAGGACAACAGTGAGAATGGGGTGGTCCCTAGTTCTCTTCATGGCCCGGCCTAGCCTCACTGAGACAAGGACTTCAGGTAAGATTTTCCTACAGGAGTTCTCCAGTCCCTGCAGATGGACCACAACTACATTGAGCTCTTCACATCTTACCACCTCATCTCCCAGAATAGGCTGCAGGCATCACAATCAGAAAGAACAAAGCTTTCGACCCATACTAGCATGAAACCTGCTATTTTCTTCTTGATGGTCGAATTAATTTGGCAACAAACTGAAAGCCAATAAAGTTTGTAAAAATTATAAAGAATTCCTAAAATTGTTGTGATTAATGAATATGTCACAGATTAATTAAAATTCTAATCTAAATTATAAAGAAAAAAGATAAGATTTCAAGTTATCAATCACAAGATTAGTCATCCTTTTCTCTTAGATCAGATTATTTTTACACAGGCCAGGCATGGTGACTCACGCCTGTAATCCCAGCACTTTGGGAGGCCAAGGTGGATGGATCACTTGAGGTCAGGAGTTCAAGGCTAGCCTGGCTAACACGGTGAAACCCTGTCTCTACTGGAAGAAAAAAAAAAATACAAAAAGGAGCCGTATGTGGTGGCGCACACCTGTAATCCCCAACTCCTCAGGAAGCTGAGGCAGGAGAATTGCTAGAACCCGGGAGGCAGAGGTTGCAGTGAGCCAAGATCACACCACTGTACTCCAGCCTGCGTGACAGAGTGAAACTCTGTCTCTAAAAACAAAAACAAAGAGAATATTTTGACGCAAATGTCCTTCATTTCAATTCGTCTCTTCAGTGAACTGTTAATCACCTACTGTGTAGTCAAGCCAGTGTGTAGCACCAGGGAGATGCATTTCCTGCCCTTACAACCACCGGGGCTCAAAATCTGCAGGAAAAAAGACATGTGGCCAGGTGCAGTGGCTCACGCCTGTCATCCCAGCATTTTCGGAAGCCGAGGTGAGTGGATCACCTGAGGTCAGGAGTTTGGGACCAGCCTGGCCAATATGGTGAAACCCCATCTCTACTAAAAATACAGAAATTAACCAGGCATGGTGGCAGGTGCCTGTAATCCTAGCTACTCGGGAGGCTGAGACAGGAGAATCGCTTGTACCCGGGAGGTAGAGGTTACAGTGAAGCAAGATTGCGCCATTGCACTCCAGTCTCGGTGATAAGAGAGCAACTCTGTCTCAAAAAAAAAAAAAAAAAAAAAAGGAAAAATCCAGAAATGCAAACCAGGTAATCATAGCATCTTAAGAAATACTGTGTTGTGTGTATTGAAAGCCACCATGGACACATAGAAGAAGGGTGATATTTTTAATTATCTGTCTTGTTTTCTATAGCACTTAGATTTGAGGTCACTCCTGCCCCAGAAATAGACAAAGAAGAACTACGCAACTAATTGTTTTTAACAACTTTTGAAATCATAAAAATCAGATTGGCGAAGTGCGATAATATATTCATTGAAGCATATATGCGATTAAATCCGTAGAATTTTAGTGCTGGAAGGAACTTTAAAGTTCATTTATTAACATTCTTATCTTACTAAGGTTCAGAGACTTTGACTTCCCCAAAATTCCACATCTAGTTGTTAGTGGCTCAGGAATAAGAATCCAGGTATCCAAGGACCTAAAAATCATAGACTTTCCCTGTACAAAATTAATATAGATAAATCAATATGATTTTATTCATAGAAATATTTGTCAATTATTACTTTTATTTTAAAATCTTCATTTTAATATATTTTTTTTGAGACAGATCTTGGCCTATAGTAACCTTCACCTCCCGGGTTCAATTGATTCTCATGCCTCAGCCTCCTGAGTAGCTGGAATTCCATCACACTCAGCTAATTTTTTATTTATATTTTTAGTACAGACGGGGTTTCACTATGTTGGCCAGGCTGGTCTCGAACTCCAGGCCAAAAGTGATCCTCCAGCCTCGGCCTCCCAAAGTGCTGGGATTACAGGCATGAGCCACCATGTCCAGCTCATTTTAATTTTTTAAACCTCAGAAGTATTATTTGGCCGGGGACAGTGGCTCATGCCTATAATCTCAGCACTTTGGGAGGCTGAAATGAGAGGATTTCTTGAAGGTCAGAGTTCAAGACCAGCCTAGCCAACATAGTGAAAAAAAAAAAACAACAAAAAATTAGCTGGGCATGTTGTCATGTACCTGTTGTCCTACTTACTCAGGAGGCTGAGGCAGAAGGATTGCTTGAGCCCAGGAGTTAGAGGCTGCAGTGAGCTATGATTTTACTACTGCATCCCAGCCTGGGCAATAAAAGGAAACCTGGTCTCAGGGAAAAGAAAAAGTACTACTTGGTCAGTGGGAGAAATAAAAATCCAAATAACTATACTGAATATTAACAGCCTCATGCGCATTCTTTTGTACTCTTCTCTATGTCTCCTTGTCCATCTAAGCATTTTATAATATTGCCTTTAATGAGTTAGTGTGAATTCTGGCTGGAGAGGTCTTAGAAGGAGCATTTGAGCTGGACAATGAAGGATGAGTAAGAGTTCAGCAAGTGGGGAAGTGGCCACAGGGCATGCTTTGTCAACGGGTACAGGGAAAGCAAAGTCATGGAGGATTGGCAGCATCTGGTGAGTTTAGGTACTGTTTGTCACTTTGTCAACTTTGTATGACTAGAACACAGAGTTTTTGGTACAGAGGGCACAAATGGAGTTGGAAAGGTTGGACGGACCATATGTTTAAAGAAATCTATACATTAGGCTAAGGGATTCAGATTTGACTTGGCAGGTAATGGTGGTCCAGCAAAGCTTTTTAATCAAGGCAATATTTTTAAATCAGGTCTGTATTTTGTAAATATCTTGATGGTAACATTATGATATGTTATGACATGGATTGAAGGAGGAAAGGGATAGAAAGAAAACAGACAAATTAGCTGTTGTAAATGCTCTTTTCTAGAGCTCTAATGTCAGAAATCTATACACATGCTGATGTCACTCCTTAGCTTCTCGGCAGATGACATGTTCAATCTACTCTTAAATCTAACCATTTACTTTTTAAAAATATTTAAGCATTGTAAAAATACTATTTCAATATATTGTCCTTTCCATAAACAGGCCCTTCATACAAATAATGCCATCTTATAATGGAGCCTTATTTTCTATTATTATTTTCTCTTGCAAATATCCATTTCAGCCCAGGTGGTAAATAATGAGGAAACAGGGAAATAAGAGGTTGAAAGTGACCAAGATAATTCTACCATAGGTAGCGGCTTATCAGGAAAAAGTAGTTTGCCATATTATAAGAAAAGGAAGTGAAAGCAGCAAGGAAGCCTGGCATGGGGTTTGGGAGGTAGACTCCACTTACCTTAGTGAACTATTTTGGGGATTGAGATGGAAAATAAGCGTGTTTTGTTGGCTCTGAGGTGCTAAACATAGAAATGGAATTAGTATTTTATAGGCAGGGGTATTCTTGGAAGTCAAAGACAAGTAAATTCAACATATTTCTTCACCAGAGCAAGATTCCATTTGTATATAAGTAAATATATATATATATGTGTTCATACATACTCTTGACCCAAAGGAAATACACTAAAATATTACCTCACAATGGGAGCCAAAGAGCGGGTAGGATTTTAAGGATACGCCTGTGTGTAGTAACGTAGGAAATATTGGGAAACACTTGAGAAGAATCGAAGTCACAGTAATACTAGGGCCCAGGAATAGATAACCTAGAGCAGAGGCAATATCTAGGCTTTTGAATTAAATACAGATTTTACCATAGTTATGAATATTTGTTTCATCTGTCTTATAAAAAATTAGATTGTTAACAGGTAAAGCTAAAACCCTCTCTGAAGATCAGTTCCAGCCCTTTCTTCCCTCACCACAGATAGATACTCTCATCAGTCTGGCATGTATCTTTCTGAGAATAAGTTGGTGAGGAGGAAACTGTCCATTTATAGAAAGAGTTGGAAATGAGAGCCAAGCTCAAGACTGGTGAGAATCATTATGATTCTATAGAAAGCAAAGACTTTACACAGAGACTGTTTTATATTCTTTTATGGCCACAAGAGGAGACAGAGGAGAGCCTCAGGGAAAAAAAAAAAAAAAAAAGTATATTAAACTTACACGTCCTAGAGACAGGAGGCACAGCAGGCCACTCAGGGTCATGCAGGAAAGAAGACACCAGGGTGGTCAGGAGGCAGAAGACAGGAGAAAGGGAAGGTTTAGGCCACTGCCTTTTGGGGGATTTTCTTGGGAAATGCAAGGCAAGGCAGGGTGAACAGTTTAGGATTCGCTAGTTTGAATAATTTGTGTGGGTTGCCTGGCTCCTCGCCCTGGGATGACTAAGGCAGAGGAATATCCCCTCCTGGGGTGTATAGGTCGGATGGATGAGGTGTGGCACTGGACAGGTTCATCAATATGTGAAAAGGCATACTCCAGCCTGGGCGCTTTCTTTTCTTTCAGAATTAACAAGCCACAGGAGAGGCAGACTCTCGGTAGCCAGAAAAGCTTTTTAAGATGTCAAGAACATCATAATATGTATAAAGAAAAATTTTAAATATTTACAATACAGAGACTTTACATTTAACTTGAAAAGGTATCTGACACCCATGTAATTGACAGAGATGAGGTATGAGCTTG